TTGCACTGCAGACGCAATTTGAGATACCACCAACACCTTCTGCGCAACCGTCATCCCGCGGTTGATGGCATCGTTAAGTTCAAAGCCGTGGTTGGTAAATCGAAGGACCGTAAGATTTCGAGGCTGGTTAAACACAATGTCACCTCGAGCATTCATAATGTGCGGATGGTTTGCAAACAGAACTGCCATCCGGTACTCGTGCGTAGCGCAGGAGGCTACATCAGCGCCTCCCTTGTAAAACTTAACCACCATGCTGCGGTACACACGAACGGTCTTGTGTCCGTTCTTAAACTCGTTGAGCAGATACTTTGGTGCATAAATATTGGCATCCGAGTTCGATAGGTCACCGCTAGGTGTGGTGCGTTGAATTGGCGTGCACGGCGGGGTAGGGGCAGTGGCGCCGGTCCGTGGGCTGCGTCGGCGCTCCTTGATCTGGGAAATGGCAACGGCTAAGGTTAACGGGCCGCCGCATCCAATCATATTATTATCGGGAGTAAACATACTGGCTTTCTAGAAAGAGATTGGGGTTAGGGTAGAATACTTTGACTGGAATATTCACTCGGGCTACCTTTTTTCCCTGTCTCGATTACTATCTTTGCAAATCAACATGTGATCGTTCAAGGGCTTGTGTGAGCTGCTTTTATACGAAAACCCCCTTTTTTTGCGCATCGATTAGGGGTGGGTCGACGGATTGGGGCTGAATGGTGAACCGTGGTGTTACCTCCCGGCCGCGACGCGCGGGCTAGCGGGAGCCTCTATAAAATGACAACACCCAAGCAGAGTTGAGTTTATATTACCTCTGCAACAAGTAAGAGTACTGATATACAAGCAAAGACATAGCGACAACGACGCAAAGGTTACAATGGACGCTACTAATAACCACCCACCCGCATCTGAACAGGAGGATGACGAAGAGATATCCCGAGTTCTCGAAGAGAGTATGTGGGACTATCACCAGAGCTTAAATACGACCTTGCTCGCATCGTTCGACGAGGATGACGGTGATGTCCCGCAAATCCCTTCCACCCTAGAGCCGTCCTTGTCTGTTAGCGAGGAAATACGTACTGCGACCACCACTGCTTTGCTAAAGCGAGAGCGCACCGAGACCAGCACTACGGTGGATGTCGTTGGAATTCGTGATCGCATATTCACCTGTGGTATATGCGTTGCCGTTTACACGCTATTGCTATGTACTTTGCCTGATGTTCTGGTGGATTTGTGGACACGGTTTATCGAGAAAAAAAAACGTACAGGTGAAAATAATTTTTACCTTTTTAAAGATTTAGGCTAGCCTCCAGAGCCGTAAAATTTGTGGTCAACACGGCAATCTGCGCCGTCAGGATTTGGTTCTGCTTGACTAGCAGCGCCGTAATGTTGTTCCACTTGATATCCAGTGCCTTGCCGTCCGTGTCGTCGTACACGAGCTCGGATAAAATGGTCTGCACTTCCTCGGCCATAAACCCAAAGTGTGTCTCGTCCTTGTCCACAAACGTTTCGGGAACAGCTTTTTTTGCCGCCACGTAGTCGGCGTACAGCTGCTGGACGAAAGTGTCCTGTTCACCGACACTAGCGGGCGTGTCTTCGGGGCCGGTCGAGGCAAATCCGACTTCTTCTAACTTGACCGCCCAACCATCCTTGGTCTTCTCGGACACGAGCCAATCAGTTATGGTTGCGGCGACACCGGGTGTGCCGTATTCGATGTACTTGCTCTTGTTGATGTAGCTGAATTCCTTGACCTCGAGCTGACCTAGAATGATGCCGGCATTGCGCGTTAACGGGACAATATTCTCTTTGGTTTCGGTTGTGGACGTCGTGTACGTGATCTCGTCGGTTATGGGGTTGTACGTCAGCGCGTTGGGACTCGCGGCGTTTCGGATCGGCTTGACCATGAACGAGTTGGCCACCGCGTTCGGTAAATCGACACCCGTGGCGTTCAGTGTAATAGTGTTGCTTTCCGACGTGTTTGAACATGCCAACGTACCAATCGCAATCATACTTGAATTTAGATTACCGTTGTACCTGGCCACCTCGCGCCCGATTAGTACACTGTCCCCCGCATCTCCCATTCGGCCCGTCAAATACCCTATCGCTATACTACCCTCGCCGCCGTTCTCGTAGAAGGCATTCCTACCAATACCAATACATTTATCGGTACTGGTGAGGTAAAGTGCACCGTCACCAACCGCGACGCTCCCTTCACCCAAGTTGTTTGTACCGGCCGAACGTCCTACTGCTATCGAAGACTCACTCTGATTGATGCCTCCTGCATCCAATCCTATTGCAATACTATAGTCACCCTGACTTGTCTTACCGGCTTTCGCGCCAATGGCCACAGAGCCCACACCCTGTGTCGTATGACCCGACTCGTTACCCACCGCTATACTACTTGCACCCTGCGTATCGATCCCGGCACTGGATCCAATGGCCACGCAGCTTTCTCCCTGTGCATCCAGCCCGGCATTGCGGCCAATAGCCACGCCCTTGGCACCCTGGTTCAATTCGCCCGCACCAAAGCCCACCCCAATAGCTTCTATTCCCTGTAGTGTAGTACCGGACCGCCGTCCAATGGCCACGGAATATTCACCCTGGGACGTCTTACCCGTATCGTGACCAATGGCCACGGGATTAATACCCTGGTTGGTCGTGCCAGCATTCGCACCTACGGCCACCGCTTTGATACCCTGTGTGTCATTCCCCGCGTGGTACCCTATAGCTATGGCACTTTCACCCTGTGTGGTTGTACCGGCGTAGTGTCCCACCGCAACAGACATGGTGCTTTGCGAAAGGTAGCCACTACTTGTCCCTATTGCAATGCCATCAATCCCCTGTGTCGTGAAACCCGCCAGATTTCCGATGGCAATACCCTGCACACCCTGGGTTACACTCCCGGCAAAGCGACCTACTGCAACGCATAGTTCCCCCTGGCTGTCCTTGCCGGCTTCAAACCCCGTTGCTACACTGTATTCGTCCTGACTCGTTTTACCCGCACCGAAACCCACAGCTACCGCGGACAGACCCTGCGTATCGTTTCCGGCCGTATAGCCTATAGCCACGGTACTTGCACCCTGTGTCGTCTCACCGGCGGTATTACCTATTGCCACCGAATTTGCACCTTGGGTTAATGAACCGGCCGCGCGACCCAGGGCTGTACTGGCTATTCCTTGGGTTGTCTTGCCTGCATCGGTACCAATAGTAACTGCATAATCCTGAATCATGACCCACCGCAATCGCCAACATTCCCTGGTCTACAAATGCCGCCTCTGCCCCTATCCCTATGGCCCGCTCACCCTGTCGTGTCTGTCCGGCGCGTACACCCACGGCAATGGCAATAGACCCTTGGGTATCCGTTGCTGCATGTGGTCCGATCGCTGTTGCATCTATACCTTGGTCGGTCAATTCCGCTTCGGTTCCTACAGCCACAGCGTGGTTGCTCTGGTTGTATCTACCCGCCTTATCACCTACTGCCATTATCACCCTGTGTGGTCTGGGCCGCATACAGACCAACGGCTACCGACTCGTCACCCTGGTCCGTTTTACCCGCACCGGAACCCACAGCTACCGCGGACAGACCTTGCGTATCGTTTCCGGCCGTATAGCCTATAGCCACGGAACTAGCCCCCTGCGCCGTCTCACCCGCGTTGCGTCCCACCGCCACACACCCCGCAGCTTGTGTTGTTTTTCCCGACTCGTGTCCTATAGCCACAGAGTAACCGCCCTGTGTGGTAACACCCGAGCTCGACCCTAAGGCGACCGAGTAGTTCCCCTGGTCTGTCAGACCCGCGGAAAACCCCACGGCGACACTGTTGGTCAGTTGCTCCGTGTTCCCGGCTTGATGCCCGATTGCTACTGTACGGACCCCCTGGTTCAGTTCTCCGGCCCCATAGCCTACACCGACGGCGTCCGCCCCCTGTAGCGTCGCGCCGGTCAGCCGTCCTATAGCCACGGAATTTTCGCCTTGGGTCGTCTGGCCCGCCCAATACCCGATGGCCACCGCCACTGTACCCTGCGATGTTTTACCCGCCTCATTCCCGATGGCAACGGAATTTTCCTCTTGCGTGTCATTACCAGATTCTCTTCCTATAGCCACACTGTATAGCCCCTGGTCCGTGGTCCCCGCGTGTGGTCCCAGGGCTGTCGCATCTACACCCTGGTTTGTCTTACCCGCCTCGGTCCCTACGGCTACGCCATGGTTGCCCTGGTTTGTCGTACCCGCATCAACCCCTACGGCTACACAATATTCGCCCTATATCGTCATCCCCGCCCCATACCCTATAGCCACGGAGCTTTCGCCCTGGGTGGTTTGTCCGGCGCTATTTCCCACCGCCACCGCGCTCGACGCCTGGGTGTCGTTTCCAGCCTTTGATCCTACCGCCACAGCGTACGAACCCTGGTCGGTTGAGCCAGATTCCCGACCAAGGGCGACGGTACAGCGTGGTTGCTCTGGTTGTATCTACCCGCCTTATCACCTACTGCCATTATCACCCTGTGTGGTCTGGGCCGCATACAGACCAACGGCTACCGACTCGTCACCCTGGTCCGTTTTACCCGCACCGGAACCCACAGCTACCGCGGACAGACCTTGCGTATCGTTTCCGGCCGTATAGCCTATAGCCACGGAACTAGCCCCCTGCGCCGTCTCACCCGCGTTGCGTCCCACCGCCACACACCCCGCAGCTTGTGTTGTTTTTCCCGACTCGTGTCCTATAGCCACAGAGTAACCGCCCTGTGTGGTAACACCCGAGCTCGACCCTAAGAGAGAGTGGACAAGGAGAAGTCGGCTAAGAATGTGTCGATGGCAAGATTGTTTGAGAGAGCCTTGCGTGCCCGTGTACGGCGTCTTCATGAAGTATGGCTTGCCGCCACCCTGGCACTATCCTCCGAGTTTGCGTACTCGTTCTCTACCACTGCGGCCTGGATGAAGTCCGAGTTAAGCAATCGAACACATTGCCGAGCAGGAATTCTGTCACTTTGTACATTCCACAACAAGCTGATACGAGCAACGTCGTCACCAAAGTCATCATGTACTCTTGTGGATTTGGGTGACGAAAAATATACGACATGTGTCTTAAGTTGTTGTGGAACGCGATTACATAATGTCGGATGCAGCAAGGTTCTATACTGCCATAGATGTAGAATATTTATCCCTAGAGATTTCAATGGTGCAGTGAACTGCTACCGCTTGTATATAGCTAGAAAAAAACTAGTCCCCAATGATCTAATAAATGAAATTTCGCGGCCTACCACAAAACCTCGCAGACACGGACACCTAAACGCCAACGTGCCCAAATCCAAATTTTATCTTCAGATATGCCTACTCGGTAGGACGGTGCGCTCGAACCGTAATCGTCGAGCCCTCTAGCTCTCAGAGGTTAAATGCCAGCACACTGCTCTAGCTCTCAGAGGATAGCTGCCAGCACACTGCTCTAGCTCTCAGAGGATAGCTGCCAGCACACTGCTCTAGCTCTCCAGCAACTAAGTTACTTGGGTATTCCTCATTATCTCTAAAACTGGCATACTGCTTTTCGGTCAGTTCTTCAGTTTGGGGAGGTTGTGGTCAGAATACAGGTACTTAGGTCTTAGTTGTTTATTTTAGTTATTATAGTTTTTACAGTTTATCAGAATAATCTTATAAACTTGGTTTTTGCTGACTATTACAGCACATGATTTATGATTCACTTTTAGAGTCACTAATTTTACAAATACTAATAAATGAACAACGTCTCCTTCTCTACGGAGGGAGAACGTTGCGATACAGTTATCGAAGCGTTCATTTACTACAAGCGTCTGGGGAGGTGCGTATGAGTGCACATGGAACACCTGAATTGTGACATGCTGCGGCGGCGACTAATTATTAAGGACCAGGCCAACCTTTGATCTATAATTATGTGGAGAGTAAACAGTGTTATGTCGATACGTTTGTTGATCAAGGCGCCGATATGTCGATGATTTCTAAGGATTTGGCAGAGCGTCTGGGGCTGGTTGCTCAGTATGATTTGTGTGGAGAGTGGGTTACGGGATTTGGTGCTCCACTTTATGTGGAATACAAGGTACGAGATGTTGAGGTTGTTTTGCCTACTTTAGTAGGAGAGAGGAGGGTTAAGTTGGATATGCGGGTTATGGATTGGATTCCACACAATGCGGGTATGTTGTTAGGCAGACGTGAATTGAATGGGTATGGATTAACTGGGGCAGTGCTTACTAGGCAATGGGTGACTAAGTATACCCTGTTTCCGGTTGAGGTGGTACGAGAGAAGCCATCAGACTTTAAGACCTGGCTGAGCAAAATGAGCCGGTGTTATAGATATTGAGTTATGATTCAGGTTATGAGAGTGATGGATCCGGGGGTGAGGATGATTATCTAATGTTCGATACGAGTGGCTTGGAACTGTTGGCTGGAGAACTGGGGAAGTCTATGGAAGAATTGGCGGAGTTGGTGGCGGCTATTAGGAGGGTGGCGTACAATGACAAGAAACCAAAGTTTGTGAAGGATCGGATGCTTAAGCTTCAGATCAAAGAAGGAGGGACCCCTTTGAGACAAGTATATGCGGAAAAAGATGTGCAACATATAAAAGTGATGAAGAAAAAGACGCAACTATTGCTTAAAGCTGGGTTGATAGAGAGGGTGCAAGATACGAATTGGCTTACAGTGCCGAAACTTGTACCTAAAGTGCCGAAACTTGTACCTAAAGTGCCGGGTAGTAATCCCAGTTATGAGGAATCCAAGGACTAGAGGATGTGTATAAATTATATGCGAACGAATTAACAGCTAGATTTGGGTACATATCCGATACCAACAGAAGATGAGTTTCTGGCAACAGTTAAGGGGCGCAAGTGGAGAACCAATGTGGACGCTGGAAATGGGTTTGGGCAGTTAATGATAGAGCCTGGTAGTCGAGGGGTAACTGCGTTTTTGACGCCCTGGGGAGAGAGGTTCCAATTTATTGGGATGCCGTTTGGTTTGAAGGAAGCATCATTTGTGTTCCAACAACTAATGAATGAGACATTGGAGGTATTAAAGGAATTAAGACGTACATTGATAATACCTCGTTATGTTTGGACAATCCAGCTGAGCATTGGGGTGGTATTGTGGAGACGATCAGGCGCTTTGAGGCGAAAGGGATACAGTTGCGGCTGTCAAAATGTAATTTCGCTTATCGAGAATAATCTATAGTCGTGATGGGTCGAGAGGTTACAGATAAGGGTTCGATGATAAGTGAAGTGAAGCTTCAGGCGTTATTAGATATGCCCAGGCCCAAAACTAAGGCCGAAGTCAGGTTGTGGTATCAGTGTTTTGGATGGTGGGCGAGATACGTTCTGAATTTATCAAATGTGTTGTTTCCGATTAGTGATTTGACTAAGAAGAAGGTACGGTTCCAGTGGGGTCCTGAGTAGGAGAAGGCTAGGCGAAGACAGTCTTGGTAGAACCTAGACAAGAGGAGCAACTTAGGTTGCAGACAGATGCAGCGGATTCGGGTATAGGTGTGAGAAGAGATGGAGAATGGCTTCCGGTGGGCTTTGTGAGTTCCAAGATAGATTTTCATGCTAATCTGTCTCCGACAGATAGAGAATTGATAGCGCTAGCATATGGGTTTTTGAAGTTCGCGGGTTTGATTAGGAGGTCGTACAAGGCGCTTATAGTAGAGATGAATCATCAGTCTTTAATTGGTGTTGGTCAGCAGGCAGAGTTCACGTCGGATCCAGTGGGTAAGAGACGGTACAGGAATGTTATGTATGTACGATCGTTTGATATGGATTTGCGGTACCTGGAAGGGCCAAAGAACGAAGTTGCGGATGAACTTAGTCGTATGCCGTGGTGATTCGATCCTATTATGGTGCCTGTCTCGGTAGAGGGTGTTAAGATCGCTGCATGTGCAAAAATGGGTCTGCCAGAGATTGATGAAGGTGTGGATCTGTCATTTGATAACGTCTGCAAGAGTATGGAAGACAGAAGGGTCCGGCTGGCGGCGGTTAAAGAGAAGCTACGAGTGTTGGAGGAGAGTCTTGATGACAAGGTTAGTACAGACTTCAAGGTTCGTGTGGGTTTATTGCATCAGCAGGTCACTGCAGTGATGGAGAGAGGCATTACTAAGAATTGGTCTAAGTGTATGGTCAGAACTTGTTCAGCCTTTGCAAGAGTACGTTATTACGTTGGTGCATCAGACTTTAGCGCATGCTGGGGTAGATAGGACATGGGAGTTCCTGAAGGTTAAGTATGGACAGGAAGTGTTGCGTTCGCAGGTTGTGAAGGTTTTGAAGAGTTGTGTCGCGTGTCAGCAAGTTGAGGGGCTTCGTGGGACTACAGGGTTGTTAATGCAGCCTGAGAGGCCGAAAGGGGTTGCAGTGTGTATAGGCATGTATCATTTGACCTTGCCAAGGACAGTTCACGGTTTCGAAGCTATAGTAGTGGCCATATATCATTTTTCGAGGATGGTGTGGTGTCGGCCATACACGCCGGAAGAGAAGAATACTAAAGGGGTATTAGAGTTTGTTCAACAACAAGTGCTGCCTTGGGGTACACCTAAGAAGGTAGTGATGGATGAGGTCGCTTCAGCAGATATGAAAAGTTTCTGGGCAGAGAGAGGTGCAGAATGCCATTACGTATAAGTAAATAGGGATCAGGGTAATGGTAGGGCAGAGAGGGTCTTGCGTACGATTGTGGATTGGCTTGCTAAGAGCTTGCCGGTTGGGGAGGAAACCTTATGGCCAGCATATATATATTCAGTCATATTGGCGTACAATGCGACAGTGAATTCGGCCACGGGTATCAGTCCATACTATCATATTACGGGCCGGCATTATACGGGGCAGGTTGACAGAGTAATTCAGGCGAAGTTGTTAGAGGTGATAGGTTCTGAGCTTCTGAGTGAAGCTGCTGTGCGGGATAGATCGGTGGTCATTAGCGATGAAGTAGCGAAGGAGGCGCATGCAACGGCGGCAGACAAGAATATAAAGGAGGCACCAGATTGGCAGCCGGGGCAGTTGGTTTGGTATACTGGTATGTCGAAGGATAGTAAGTTGGCGAAAACCTATTTAGTGCGAGGCACGATTGTTATGAGGGAACATTTACAAGAGATGTACAAGGTCAGCATTAATGGTAAGGTTAAGTCAGTACATGTGGATCAGCTTAAGGTGAGGATAGAGGATCCGAAGCATGAGGCCAGTATTAGAATGCGTAGAAGGGAAGCTTGTTTGATCTGGCTCTACAATTATACTGGTGAAGGGGCAGCTAGTGTTACAGAACTTGATGAAATGGTGGCAGTAATGCGGTCAACAAAGATGGGGAGGACTTGGTTATATGCCATGAATTCAGCTTTTGGTATATATGTTGAAACGATAGTCGATGCGGCGAAGCGAGGTGAGGGTAAGGGCGCGGAAGAAGATACTTTGGATTTGGCTATGAAGCATCACTTCCATAAGAACAGGTGGAACAGGTTGCAGATGTTCTTCCAGGTTGCGAGGTATCCGATTTTGCGGAAGAAGCAGTTGAGTAAATGGTTGAATGAATGAACTCGACACTATTGTCTTGTTCATTGGGGAGGTGTAATGTCAACAATGTTTACCTCCGATTTAAAACAATGTTGGTGTTGTAAGTACCGAACTGTTGGGTAATGTTCCTGGGCGTAAATAAGAGTGCGAGAACTTCTAAGTGTGGGCGATAACTTATAAGTGTGAAAGCTAATAGGTTCGAAAAGTTCTAAGTTGTATAGTGTGGTTTGTTGGCGAACGGCCGCGCAGGCTCGAAAGAAGAGGAGGTTGGTGTATGATTGGTGCTTTGCGAACCAAAGTGCGGGTAATGTGAGCTGGAGGTTGGCAGATGACGATATATGTTGAATGGACTTGTAGGCTCGAAATTAAGGAGATACACGATATGATTGGCGGCAGGATTCTTAAGGAAATCCTTCGGAAATAGTATAAATGTAGTAAACACATCAAAATACGATACTAAAATCTACTGAGTCTCCCTGAGGCTCAGTGCGGTGTATTTATTCTTATATTTAATTGTCTACGTGGTCTACAAATAATTCACCTCGTGTGAATTAATTGTAAACTAATTCTAACTCCACACTGATAGTGGTTTAAGGGGACTTTTACTACAGTGGAATAGACAAGGATTTAATGAGCGAGAAGGATGACTCATCGTGTGCCATCATAATTTAGTAATTAGGAGATGAAACTCTTTTCATAAATATCCGTTTGTTAATAGAGAAAATCTTGTCTCACATAGCAATGTGATTAATGAATACAGCAGGCGCGTCGTTCATAATGGCACTTCTGACTGAGTTCACTTATTTCAGACTTAACACTGTGCTCTTGGGTTTTACCAAGCGTTACTTAGTTTTGACTACATTTTAAGTGACCGAACTACTGTATTTATTACACTACGTTCTGTGAAGACTATATTATATTAAGAATCAATTTAGTTATAGATAGGCAAGCAAGCGTGTTGTTGTCCATCGATTGATTTTAATCTGTGTTAAGGTGAAGACAGTATTTTTTAGAGACCCTACACCTGAGGATGAAGGAAATGCAGAAATCCACGTGACGCTGGCCCGTTTGATTTTGGAGGCTCAGCACTCGATTTCTACGTTCGATAAGGTCGAACAAAATCCGGAGTACATTTCTGATTAAGATGGACACTCGAGAACGCTGATGAATGTGCAGGAGGCTACGGAAATTATTCATCTCATTCGTGGACAACTTCGCCAACTTCGTAAATTCCCATTGGCGAATATTGAAGCGTCTACGGCCAATGACATGTTCTTTAGCGACAGGTAGCACCAACATCGCTACTATATTGGACACCTCAACACCCCACACAGATAGAAACGATGTCGACTGGTCAGTTGCCTAACAGCATGGCGGACGATATAAAGCAACTCAGCCAAATGAAACAAAAAATTGACGGCACGAAGCTGATACCTCAAGTGGCACCACACGATAATGTCCACGTTTCTCGCAGGGAGCGGATGTTGCAACACGTTCAAAATCGAGCACAAGAAATTCCGGCACCTGATCAGATGCCGGCCGAGTTTTGTGGCTTGAATTATATCCAGGAATCGACAACTGTGGTGAAATCTCCTGGTAGATTTTTTTTTGGAACCAGCGGATTTGCACTTGGCGATGGACACTCCTCAGAATCTGTCATCGTCGGCAAAACGCTTGTTTGATACATTTCACATAGCGGTGAAATTTTCACGACAACATATTAATCAAGGTCAAGTAACAAAACGTTGATCGGTAATGTAAACCTTAAATCTACGGCCATGTCTCGGCAGGTTATCTCTCTCTCGCCAGCTAACGTAATCATAGTAGGTTCTGATACACGAACTACATCCGTTCTTTTACAGAAACGTGATGAAATGCATGATATACACTAGCCCGGATCGATCAACGCTTTTTTTTTTCACGCCTATTAACCCGTACATCAAGGATGACACGTTCATCTTCCGGCGCATCTCTTTGTCTAAGTGACAAAATCCGGTATGTTTGACACTTAAGCTTAACCTTTGGCTGCACCTTGCACATATGTCTATGATAACCTCAAGTTCCAGTACAATCTGTGCACTCCACTACCAATTGTTTATACTTCACTGCGTATCTACCGTTACCATGTTCATTTGATTCGTGCTGGGTCATGTACCAGTTGCAAACTGCCTCGCTGCAGTTCTTAATCTTCTTATGCTTAGGAGGTAAGGCTGACGGAGCAGACTTATTCACAGGGGATCCTCCAGTGTTGGACATTGTTCTTGTGTTCATCAGGACTTTGATTGTTTTTGTTCTGTCGGCCACCATTGTCACCAACTTTGCTTCACTTGTTACTACCCGCTGCGCAATGTGAGTCTCGACCAGTAACTGGTCCTTCATTCGTAAAGATACAATCTTCTTTTGAGATTGCCTCAATTTTACCACCGAACTCGGACGCTTCGTAAAGGTCTGGTCTGGTCTCGAATGAAATTCGGACCAATGTATGTCCGCGAATTTCATGATGCCATAGGTAGGCTCTTCAATCAAAATCTCACATACCTTGTCTGAGTAAGATTGATGCATGTCTGCTTACAATACTTCCCGATCTTTGCTGTGAATGGCTGACCAGAAGATTGTCTGTACCCAGAGCACACACATGCTCAAGCTATCAGCGGACAATTTGTTAGTTTGGGCACGAGATAAGTTTGTGGCTAACTCTAACATGTAGCAAGACACTGGCGTTCATTCGTCCGGATATACCATAATCGATACCAATAACTCCGGTCAAGGATCCGTCTAGAAAAACTGGGCGATCATCTCGCTTTGCTCCTTCCACGTTTCAGCTGCGCAACAGTTACATTAGCCTTCCCCAACTTATTGCACTTATAAGATGATGGTTAAAACTCTGTTCTGCTGCCTCGTACCATAGGTCCTTACAAAATTTGCAGTATGCATGGTTCGGAGCGAATTTCTTCAAAGATCTGGACAATTCTACCAACCCACTCGTGTCGATAGGGTCCTGTCGGTGTTTTCAATCTAAATGATATGTAGTGGGCAACTTACCAATATACTTGGCAAACTTCTTACCCTCTACAGCCTTATCATTCTGAATCACTCACAGTTCAGAATCAATCTTGGATTGGAAATGTGTAGCCAAAGTCAAGTATAGACTAGCTTTATTTAACTTACCATGATCCATCGCCAAGGTTGAAGCGGCCTCTGCGTGATTCATACGAGCTGTAATGTCAGCGATTTTTACATCCCTTGTTATTTGCTCAGAAATCAGTACTGTCCGATCGTTGCTAACCATGCAGTCACAAGTCCGTCTCGTCAGCTGGTCCTTTCAAACCCTTGACTTGATTGAGTCATGTTCTTGATTGAGTCATATTGGAGAAGAATTTATCCGAGATTCTTGCTGTGGATCATCATCATTATGATCTGGAATGTCAGCTACCTCTTCGGGAATTGATTTCTGATGCTTCACTTCTGACGCCATAGGTGAATGCATCTGCAACGAATCTTTCTGAGGGTTGTGTGGTCCTTGTGTCTCGATGTATGATGACAACCTCAAACAACGAGGGTTTTCCTTGGTCTGACAACATCTCATATACCGGCACCGCATTGTGAAGGGTCGAGTCTTTCTATATTACCGTCGGGAAGCTCTTGAGGGCGTCCCGGATTGCATACCATGGCAATTTTGCGAAGTTCAAATCGGATTCCATCCCAAATACCTGAGCCAGTTTTTGCGAAATACTTTCTGACGAACTTTGCTATCCGGTATCTTAGCCTGTATGGAGAAGAAAAAAATGGTATTATTAAACAACCATTGTTTGGCGTACATATGGAAAAGGATTGAGATGCGTCTGGCGAAGGTTCCAAGCTCGCGCTGTTCTCTATTTGATTCATTCGCGATCGGCTTCATCATCTGCCCGGATTGTTGCATCGTACGGATCTCTCAACACGAAATATCGTCTCCATGTTGGTCTTACAGGCCCTGGTTGGATATCTACGTAAGCCGAATCCAACTGGGGTCACCTTTTTCATCGCTTGATTCTGGGCTGCTCTTCTGATCTTTCTCCAGCAGCGCCCTTGCAAGTGTATCAATGGAAAAAAGTCTTGGTCGTCACCAATGAAACATTAGCTTTGTCCGAACCAATGAACTATCTTCACGCTCTCTATAAACGTATCGATGGTCAAAGTATGCTGGGATATTATTGAAATATCTATTAACATAATCCTTGACTTATAGTGTGCTTCGAAAGAATTGATATACATTCTTTATACCACAAAATAGTTGAGAAATAAGTTACAATTTGTCGATCTATCACTAAACCATTCGAATCTGTATGAGGAATGTTGCATACTGGGCATATTAATATATATGTATTTAAAGTAAGATGTGCCTTGTACTGATTATATATTATTATAGACTCGTAACAACATACTTTGAACGACTTTCTTTATCGAAATTTCTACCAAAGGATATTAGAGACAAGAACAATACACTGACAAATCAACAGTCGGAGCTCATGCTTCCGCGTCCTCGTAAATGGCACCACTCCAACAGCCCTCCCAGTATCAATGCGGACTCTCAGCGTGATCAAAATAATATCTCATGGCGCACAGCTCAATATGGGAGTCCGGCGGTATTGACAAGATCTAACTATTATAGTCGATTGGCTTCCTGTTTCGAACTACTTCGAGTCGACTTGGGAGTCACCAAGCAACGTCCAAAATGTCATCGTATTACAGAGGGCAATTTCATCTTTTACTTCTGAAAACTTATCTCACATTGTATGTTTCTGGGAAAGATGGAAACGATTTATATCGCTATGTATGTGTGTGTTTTGAGCGATGTATTCATCACCCACATCTAACCCACGCCGTCTACAGAGGGCAATTTCATCTTTTACTTCTGAAAACTTATCTCACATTGTATGTTTCTGGGAAAGATGGAAACGATTTATATCGCTATGTATGTGTGTGTTTTGAGCGATGTATTCATCACCCACATCTAACCCACGCCGTCTACAGTTATATTGTTACTAACTGTTCAGCGCAAGTATTAGTACAACAGGTCGGTAGGATTGCTTTACACACGAGGCTTGATTGCGACCGTCCTCGCGCACTTGACTGTGATTTTTTGTTTTATCATTATCCCAGTACTCCCTTTTAATACGTAAATACAATTTGTATATATGCTTGATAGTTTTGGTTATCTATCACAACAAAAATCAACCAGGTGGGAACCACTTGAACGTCCTCATTTAGCTGGTAGAAGTTCCACCGTATTTTGTACATGTGCATTTGAAGCGCCGTGATTTTGTTTTTTCGAAGGGATTGATAGTTTGGCACACAAATATACAACACAAAGTTGAGATTGAAAACTTGGATATTAATTATTAATTGCATAAGCATATCAAAGTGTGGTCGGAATACACCCAGACGGAATTATTAGTGTTCAACCAGACAGGGTTATTTGTGTTATTTAAGTTTAGGTTATTTTAGTTTATAATATTAGAATCTGCAAACTTAGTTTGTACCGCTCAGGGTTTTAGATAGGCACATGTCTCAGAAATAGTTAGACTCTGAATTTAAAGTTTAATGAATAAAAGAACAACGTCTCCCTTTGAACAGAGGGAGAACGTTGAGATACTGTTTTTCCACGTTTAACTACAAATGACCAAGATAGCACGCATATACTCCCCCCCCCCCCCCCCCCCTAAAACGAAAGCAGCTATGTCTACCCCTCCTAGATCCTTCGCAAGTGATGATGATTGACTGTAACGTACAACCGTGATATAAGCATACGAGTATATATGATATGCATTCTAGAATATTGGACGCAACAAAACTATATAACTTGGAACAGCTAGATATGTGCTAACTGGAACTAAATATGTACACCCAATTCCTCCAGGCCCTCCCAATATACTTCAATCGAGTAAGTATACTATGGGCGATACAACTGTAGCGTGTATTCTTTTTGCACACCATTGCGAGACCTCGGAGGTAGTCGGGAATTGTACAATTATTTTTGTCTTTGTACTCTGGCGGTGCGAGTTTAGAAGTTCACGAGGGTTTATACAGCCACCTATATATAGTGAACTTATTTTCGATACTGTACTGCACGTATTCAGAATTTTGATTCAAAGGCAGTCTCAAAGTTGCGAAAAAGAGCCTCTGCGAAGTCGATGTCACAGGTTATTGACGCAGTAGCGAACCGGTTGCTATTTTAAGTTTGGTAGGGTGCATGTCCCGAAAACCAATATCTAATTAGTTTCAATTTGTATATCAAAAAACCCCACCAAGCCAGAACAATCGATTGTTGACTGCCACTTCTTTACCTTGAACCGTGTAGTATTTAAACGCTGTATAACTGTATCTCAACGTTCTCCCTCCGTAGAGAGGGAGACGTTGTTCATTTATTAGTAATTATAAAATTAGTGACTCTAAAAGTGAGTCATAAGTCATGTGCTGTAATAGTCAGCAAAAACCAAGTTTATCAGATTATTCTGATAAACTGTAAAAACTATAATAACTAAAATAAACAACTAAAACCTAAGTACTTGTATTCTGACCACAACCACCCCCCCCAAACTGAAGTACTGACCGAAAAGCAGTGTGCCAGTTTTAGAGATAGTGAGGAATACCCAAGTAACTTAGTTGCTGGCATTTATCCTCTGAGAGCTAGAGCAGTGTG